TAGAGCAGCGACCCACAAGGAACTAATCCGAAGATGTAAAAAATGTTTAGAAGTTGAGAAGTTGAAGGAAGACATTTTGAACATTTATTAATAAATTTGACAATTAAAAACCTGTGACAGTTGTCATGTTAATTGTTACTTACCTATCACGGCCACCTAAAATGTGCGAAATAAATGAAAATACCATTTTAAGAAAAGGGAAATGTTTATTCGTAAAAATAATGAAAACGACTGGATTTAGGTATAGGGAAACTTTAACAAAGTTACACTTAATTTTAGTGCAGAATGCGAATACGTTAAAAAAATTAGGTGTCCAATTTAAAAATTTCGAGTTCTCCACATTTTCTGAACTTCATATTCGTTCATTATTGTTGACCACCCTGTATAAAAACTAGAAAATTTTCATGTCAAATTCGATAAATTAGGTCTCCCTCTAGAAAATGTCCAATTTGCACAAAAAAATAAACGTACGTTTCCGGGAAAACTAAATTTTGCTGACAGTCTGCATCTGTCAATTTTTGCTTAAAAATCAAAATATCTCGGAAACGGTCAATCCTAAGTATAGAGTGTGCTATATGTTTTCAACTCAAAAATAGATGCTCTTTCCAAAAATGTAATAATATACAGGGAGTTTCATTTAAAATAAGAAAGATAGTATCGACTTCCGGTATAACCGGTAGTACATGACCTTGAAAATATTTTAGCTTGGTAGGCCCCACGGTCCGTATTACACCATCACAATTTCAAAAAAATTGTTCTAGCGGTTTCCCAGATATCTATCGATGCAGTTCGTGGTGGGACTCCCTGTATACACACGTCCGTAAAGCTTTCGTTTCCAGATATATACGGGATGTTCAATTTTTTCTAAAAATTTTATTTTTATTTACATCTTCCAAACGGGTTGATCAATCAATTCAATTTGGCAAGGGATATTAGCTAATATGTCTACACTATATGAACGTGAGTAATAAAATAATTATATTTTTTTAATGGTACTCACTCCTATTTCAGTAATATATTCGCTACAATTATAACATATTTTGAAAGTAAATTATACAGAAAGATACTCCTATCTTTTCGATAAAACCCATTGTTTTCAAGAGAACTGCAAAACATGATTTACTAATAATAATAAAATTTGTAAAAATACGAGACTGTACACAAATACAGACATGGATTTTACGTATGGACGTGCCAATGGTAATGAATTTGAAGCTTGTCGGTATGATCAAGCTTATCCTAACTGTCCAGTTCCTTTTGCTCGAAAATCATCAGACTTTACTAGCGACTCCTGGGCAGTAGAAACTTTGGTGAAAACCCTGTTGACACTGGAAGACCTAGATCTGTTTTCACTCACGAGAAGAATAAAATTTGGAGGAAGTGGGAGAAAATCCTGAAAGTACTGGCAGCGTTAGATAGATTATAGCTCTTCGCCACTCTCTTGTTTAGAAAATCCTTAGAGGACAGATATTGCACACATACCACATCCCACTTTGATGCCAGATTAGCACTTTGTAAGTGAGTTTCCTGAGAACAGACTAACTTGGGCATTTTGCAACCCTCGTGCTCTCATTCCTTATCGCCAAGGGCTCCCCCAAAGTGGTTGGTACGCCTTCTACACTCCTACTTCTCTACACTTCCGGACATAGATCTGCGTCATGAAAACTTCTAGTTTACAAGCTCTTGAAAATGTAAGGGAGACATGGTCGAGGGTGAATACAGCCAAAGAACCAACCCCCTAGAGGGGTGAAAACTACCGTCTGCTGGACAGGATGGAGATGTGGGATGTAAATTTGCTTGTTCTGGTTTCTACTGCGCAATGGTCGCAGTGCACTGAGGAGAATAGCCCTCAACTGCTTTGCCGTAAGGTGCTCCTCCGCCCTGTCCAGCAGAGGGTAGTTTTCACCGCTCTAGGGGGGAGGTTCTTTGGCTGTGTCAGTCCTCCATCATGTCTCCCTTGCATTCTTAATGGCTTGTAAGCTAGAAGCTTTCTTGACGCATATCTATGTCCGGAAAGGCATAGAAGTAGAAGGGTTGTAGAAGGCGTACCAACCCTTTCGGGAGAGCCCTTGGCGATAAGTAATGAGAGCACGAATGCCCATTCATACTCATTTTCGTAATTATATTGATATTTAAAATACATAGGAATAAACAGTCATCCAGATCACGACTTTTTCTTGAGGGGTTGTGTTAAACCATCCTTAAAATTCTGAAAGTACCTACTCATAATATTAGGCGGATTATAGCTCTTAGTCACCCTCTTGTTTAGAATACCCTTGGGGAACAGATATTGTAATCATGCCACATCCCACTCTGATGCCAGAGATATTAGCAGCATGTAAATGGGTTTCCCGAGAACAGAATAACGATCTTAACTTGGCAGCGAGGACAGGGTCTGCCCTCGTCCAGGAATGTGGACACGCTTTGGAGTCATTGGCCAGATGAAGAGAGGTAGAGTTGGATTGGGTTCCAGGCCACATGGGTATCCCTGGTAACGAGAGGGCTGATCAACTGGCTCGTCTCGGATCTAGGGAACCTAGCCAGAGACCTGAACCAATCCTAGGAAGCACACGAGGTTGCATTAACGGGGCTCTTAATAAATGGGGCTTTCAAACTTTAGGCCGGAACTGGAGGAAATAGAGGATGTAAGCAGGCCCATAGTTATATACATGAACCTAACAAACCTAAGACAAGATGGCTGCTGAGCCTTAGTCGAAGAACCCTAAACCAAATGCTGCGGATTCTGACAGGCCATTTCAGATTTAGGAGGCATTTAAGTTTGATAGGAACTGAGGAGGACCCTCTACGCCCGAAATGTGGAGCAGAGGAGGACAGCCCTGACCACCTTCTGAGACACTGTACAGCCTTTGGAAGGATAAGTGTTTAGCGTTGAAGAGCTGTAAGGGATTGAGGTGAGAGACCTTCCATGGACCAAAATTCTGGCGTTCATTAGGGCGTCGGGTAGGTTCGAAGAGGGTCAGAGGCAGAGAGTGGGACGGCGGGATAGGCAAAAAGGGCCCACTTGTGGCCTAATTGTCAGACTGAACCGCCCCTTTTCACTATTACTGCTACTACTAATTTGGCAGCATTGATCCATGTGAAAGATAAGATAGGGGGCGAAATTGAAATTTTCAATTCTCTTAATACGCTCACTTAGACTGACCAAAATCCAATTACTGTTGTTGCAACGTGACATCAAAAACTCTTTAGTTTAAAGGTCCAGATTATCACACAGAAAGGTTAATAGGACCTGTTNGAGAACAGAATAACGATCTTAATTTGGCAGCGAGGACAAGCTCTGCCCTCGTCCAGGAATGTGGAGACGCTCTGGAGTCATTGGCCAGACGAAGAGAGGTAGAGTTGGTTTGGGTTCCAGGTCACATGGGTATCCCTGGTAACGAGAGGGCTGATCAACTAGCTCGTCTCGGATCTAGGGAACCTAGCCAGGGACTTGAACCAATCCTAGGAAGCACACGAGGTAGCATTAACGGGGCTCTTAATAGATGGGGCTATCAAACTTTAGGTTAGAACTGGAGGAGAAATAGAGGATGTAGGCAAACCCATAGTTTTATACATGCCCGAAATGTGGAGCAGGGGAGGATACCCCTGTCCACCTTCTGGGATACTGTGCAGCCTTTGGGAGGATAAGACATAAAGTCTTTGGCGCTGAAGAGCCGCAAGGGATTGAAGTCCTTCCATGGACCAAAATCCTGGCGTTCATTAGGGCGCCGGGTAGGTTCGAAGAGGGTCAGAGGCAGAGAGTAGACAGGTGATGGGATGGCGGAGCAGGCAAAAAGGGCCCACTTGTGGCCTAATTGTCAGACTGAGCCGCCCCTTTTCAATATTACTAATTTGGCAGCATTGATCCATGTGAAAGATAAGATAGGGGACGAAATTGAAATTTTCAATTCTCACTTAGACTGACTAAAATCCAATTACTGTTGTTGCAACGTGACATCAAAAACTTTTTAGTTTAAAGGTCCAGATTATCACACAGAAAGGTTAATAGGACCTGTTGTATTATCTAATTCATTAATTGCATATCTACACTTTTTAAGATAGGTGCCATTGTTTGAAAACGTACAACTGGATATCAGGTGTAGTTTGTGGTTCATCGTATATGAACCTCATTGAAACCTAAATGAAACTTGCAAACAGAAGTAGAAGTGGTGGCCGCTAGACCTGAATCTGTTCGACTCCTTTATTTGGAGTTATATTAAACGTTTAGTGACCCGGGGCAAGTTGAAAACTTGCATGTTCTACAATAACGAATAAAAGAAAGCTCCAGCCCATCAGAGCCCAAACATGAGATAATTGAGAAGGCATGTAATTCATTTTTTAGATGACATGTGATTCTTCACTAAATAAAAGTGCTGAACCTTTTAATTTCATGTTTTGATGTTTGCTTTTTTTCTATTTTTAATCCTTTGCATGAAACGAATTCATCACATCGTTTTCTCTCATCTCAATCAGTACAAATTCAAAAGTGTTGATATGACAGCAATTTGGGTAGTGATGTCAGTAAGAATTTTAAAATCACCTTTAGCAATTTTATTTACAACAGTGACTCTTTTAAAATTTTTTATAAAAGTGCCGTTTCTAATTGGGCTTGGTTTTTCAGAAAATGCTATTATTTTCGCAAAAATTTCAATGGTTTGGAAATACTGCTCAATGGATGACGATACCCCATCCTTGAATTATCTCATTTATCATTATTTATTTTACCCCATTTGTAATAATTTGGTCAACCCATTTGCAAGACATAAACAAACTGATTTTGTTACGAAAACTAACACCCTGTATCTCTCAGTTTCGGACTTATGCCCATGTGAACTTTTTCTTGCTGTTTGGAGTTCTAACTGTTTTTTTTTAACATACAGTATATGTATCATTCTTATAGAACACCTGTAAAAAATTAATACAGTTTTCCAAACCAAATTAATATAAAACTAAAAATAAGTGGATGTCGGTAATAAAGAAACGAAAAGTGACTTACTCACCTACTATTGTAGCAAATATAAAAACTCCAATAAGGTAACTAACTATGGTAAAGATGTACCTGAAATAAAAATATCATTCAAATTAATAAAAAATATTGCATAATTTTTGCACAAAAATACATTTGCTTTGTTTACAGCACGACATAAATTATTTGATGAAATCTATTCTGGTTTTTGTCCTTATACACAGTGTCCCAATATAAATGTGAAAAAAGTCAACTTTATTCATTTAAATGGTATGGTACATTTTTATTAATATTTAAATTTTAATTAGCTTTTGAATGGAAAAAAAAGAAGAAAAGTTTGTTTGAATGTATGTTGTATTATTTTTTTGCAATATGAGTGGGATAAAAATTATTAAAAGAAAAATGTCAATCTGTTTGAAATAGAGTTGTTGTTGAGTTTCGTGTAATCTGAAATACCAGGCATCAGAGGCTTGTAAATATTTTAGTTGTAGGTAATCGTATTTGGCAATAAAATACAGCTTAATGGAAAGTTACCAAAGACAAACTATGCATGTTAAATGTCATTTTCAAGTGTCCAACAAAAACATCAACTGAGGGTTATTTGAGATATAAAATATAAGAAACCCTGAACATGACTGCAGATTATTTTCGTTGTTTTTTTCTGATTGTTCTAAAACGGCTACTCCAATAAAGAAATGTGACATAACATTTTCTATTTAGAATTTGAAGGTTTGTCAAATCATGTTAAAAAATAGGTACGGTGTTACCATTTAAAAAAATATCGTTTTAGTAGCTACTGCAGAAATCTGGCAACACCGGAAATATATTTGTGAGTTTTTCTTAATCAAGTTATTTCCTACAACTTTACATTTGGAAGTACTAGTCTATCACATCAAATAAAAAAATTAGCCTGTCAGGTTTTAAAAAAATAGCACTGACAGGGTGTCCGCAAATTTCACCGACAACGTTTGCCTGCATATTCACGAAGATAAATAAATATGATCAACGAAAAAAAAGTTAAATAAAAAATGTTTGGTTTTTAAGTTACAGGCCTTCAAAGTTGTCAAAAATAAAAATAATTTAATTAATAACTTCATAACCCTTTGACCGATCGCGTTAAAATTTGGCACATTTATTTGGACTATTATGGCGTCAAATCGATATACTGGGTGATAGTTTTCTCCTGTTACCTCTTCCTTTTAGCGGTCAAAACTTTTAAAGTATATTTTTTTAAATCGGGCAGCGACATTGAAAAGGTCGTTTTATTTTAAAAAAATATTGTCTCTTCAGGAAATCTCCTACAGAAAACCATTCTTGAGAAAAATGGCATAATTTGCCGGTCTGCATGTTTCAGTTTGAGTAGCAGTGTCACAAATTTAAAACTTTGAGTTCAGTAGGCGATGAAAACAAGATATTGATTGCTGCGGCTAGCAGGTAATGCCATTATTGTGGTGTTTCTTTAGGATTCTCATCACTCCACATATACAAACTATGAAAATTTACAACTCCGTTCTTTATAAAATAAGATTCGTCGGCACAGAACAATTTTTCCATTCACCAACCAGCGGCAAAATTGTAAACGTGCGTTGGGATCTAAATTTTCAAGTCCTTGGGCAGGAGTTAAATGAAATGGCCGAAAAAGTTGCTTGCTTTGATCGCCTACTGATCTCATAGTTTTAAATCCGTGACATTGCTACACAAACCGAAACGTACAGACCTGCAAATAATGCCATTTTTCACAAGAATGGCTTTCTGTAGGCGATTTCTACGTTTAATCCTCGTTATTCGCGTTTATTAGAGATTCCTCGCCACACCACTGCCCTGTATACTAGAAGTTTTATCTATCACGCATGTAAAGAATATAATGCTTTGACCGTTTGTTTTAAGTCATAAACTATTTTGAACTTTAAAAAAAAAGTTAAAGCAATTTCTTTTGGATGATTTTAATACTAGTTAATAATTTGCTGTCACTAAACTGTCTTTTAGGATGTCGTTAACTGTTTGGATTTTTTTTTCACTTTGTCACTACGAGTTTTTCATTTGATTCATATATATGTGTACCTATATATTTTTCAATTTATGTTCATATTCTGTAGGGATTATGTTTAGAGATTTTATTATACTTAGGGTATTTTGTGTTCTTCANAATTCGTAGTAGCCCCTTTAATTGGTCGTATCCAAAACTTCCAAACATTTCGCTGTTCTTCACTGACATCTTTTGTGGTGACTGCAAATGCGAAACACTTGCCACTTCGGAACGTCTCAGATCGTTACTATTGTCTGAGGAGCAGTTTCGTCCCTAGCAGCTTTAGAACCAACAAGAACCGTTTAGGGGTTCGGGTGGCTGGTCCGTCTCCACAGAACCTAGCCCGAAAACAACAAGGACAAGTCAAAGATTCCTAACTAAGGCGATTTTCTCAAGAGACAATATTTTTTTAAATAAAACGACCTTTTCAATGTTGCTGCCTATTTAAAAAAAATACGACCACTGTAAAAGTTTTGATCGCTAAAAGGAAGAGGTAACAAGAGAAAACTATCACCCAGTATATCGATTTGACTAAAGGTTAATTAATTAATTAAATTAGTTTTATTTTTGACAACTTTGAAGGCCTGTAACTCAAAAACTAAAAAGTTTTTATTTACTTTTTTTTCATAGATCGTATTTATTTATGGTCGTGAATATGCAGTCAAACGTTGTCGGTGAAATTTGCGGACACCCTGTTTGTATATGAAGGGATTTACCTACCATACTTAAACATTGTTTTTAGTTCAAATGTGAATATTATTACATTTTAAATTGTAAACACTTATTAGGAATTTCCGATAATCTCATTACTTGCATTTATCCATACCTACCACCCTTAATCCTTTTTACATGTGTTAATATTAAAATTACGATCTTAAGTATTTACTAGAAGTATCCTGACAATTAGAAATTCCCAAATTAGTTTTTAATGACAATTCCCATCACTTTCTTAATCGGCCTACACACGGGGCAATCTGCAGGGACCAATTTGTAGGGTGTTAGAGTGGTGGAAATTGGGTATGACTCTCCACACGGTCAGTATGGGAATTTGTATTAAAATGTAAATACGCTCTACCATGGCTCCATATCTGTGTATTTATTTGCCCCACGAGCCACATTAATCTAGAATCAACCTGTTATTGTCCCAATTGCGCTACACACCATACAATATGCAGGGCGTAAGGGTGGGGAGCAGGGCGGTTGTCTGGTCCGCCGAGACAACTTCCCGATATCGGATAGTCGTAAAATAATTGTGACAATTCGCCTCTACATGAGGCAATCTGCAGGGTCCCTGCATTTTGGACCCTGTAGATTGCTTCGTGTGTAGGCCGCTTTACCTGCCCGAGCTTAGGTCGGTAGGACAGTTGGGGAAAAAGAGGAATTCGATCTCAGCGATTCGACGAGACAACACCGACCGGCTAAGCTCTACAAACCAGTATTACTTCCTGCACGGACTTCAAATTGGTGACCCTGCCGTGATCGAGAAGCAGGATATTTTTTTGCACAACAGTGCAGTGATTTAGAAGATGTTCGGTTCAGCTAGTGCAAGTAGTCCGGTTCCAGTGCAACCTGCGTTAGGTTATGTCGCGATAAGAATGCCGTCTTTTTGGCCGGATGACCCGGCAATTCGGTTCACCCAAATGGAACATCAGTTCGCGATCGCTGGGGCTGTAAGCGAATACACTAAGTTCAGTTACGTAGCCGGCAATTTGGACCAGGAGTATATGAAGGAAGTGAGGGACATCCTTATCAAACCGCCGCGAGAGAATAAATATCAAATGATCCTTAAAACGCAGCTGATAAACGGCTTTAGCGCATACCAGAAGGAGAAGACGCGGCGGCTTCTGGAACACGAAGAAATGGGCGACAGAAAACCGTCGCAGTTCCTGCGCCATCTCCAAGGTTTAGCTGGGGCGAATGGGCCAGATAATTTTATTCGCTCCTTATGGTTATCGCGACTGCCTACTAACAGTATGCAAGCTATTTTGGCAAAGCAAGCAACAACGGACCTGTCCACGATCGCAGAATTAGCGGATGCATTAGCGGAGACAAGGACAGAACAGCACATACCGGAAACCGCGGCGGTCTCTAGTTGTGTAGAAGAAACGATGAGGCAAGTTACTGCAGAAATGCACGCAATGATGACACAAATAGCAAGCCCTCTCTGATCAGCATCGAAGTTCGAATAGACGGCGCTACCGCTCTCGTTCCAGGGACGGACCACGGCAGCAGGTAACGCAAAAAATAACTTCAACAGCAGCAGCAGAAACAACGACACCAATAACAATAACCTCAACAGCAGCAGCAGCAGCAGCAGCAACGACAGCAACAACAACAACAATAACACCAGCAGCGGCAGCAGCAACAACATCAGCACCAAGAATAACAACAGCTGCAACAGCATTCAGGACTCTTCAGTACTTTGAGAACCAGCAGTCAAGAGTAATAGCGCAGAACTAGAACAGGCAGACAAGTCCGTTTCCGTTTCCTATAGCGATACCTACGCCGATTTTCTTAATTTAAAATACCAGCAGGGGGTACTGTAAGCATTTACCTACCCTACTGAGCGCTTGTAGATCACTCTGTATCCGATACACAGGGTGAGTTTTTTCGATGTTTAGTGTAAGGATCTGGGAAAGTATCAGAGATATAAAAAAAGTTATATGAGGAAAGATGTGCAGTTTTATGATCCTTATTAATTTTTACTTTTATTTTTTGAAAATACGTCGTGGCTGACTAGATATTTGGAAAAATCCGAATTCGGGCAATTCTTTCAGATGCGTGTAGCTTTGTTGCTATTTATTTTACCATTAAATTATAGAGTTTCAGTTTTTGCAGTGTTAATAACACAGAAAAGTAACTGTCAAATACCCAGTAAATATTTCGATTGTTTTCACAGCCATCTTCATCAACGAGCAATTGAAAAGTTAAAAGCAGCTGCAATTCTCCCATTTTTCAAAATAACAATACCAAATATTATATCTTTGGAAAGCATAAAAAAGACATTTTTTTCTAGCTCATAGCTAACTATGGTTTACATTTAAAAAATTTGAAGTTTATGTTATAA